TATAGCCAAGCATTGAATCGATATTTAAATCATGCAAAGATTACAACACGAAATATCGCTTCTAATTTGTCAAGTCCACAACTCGCTGATAAAAATAGTGGTCAGAAATCGCTGATAGCTGACGAGTCATTTAATTTTACGTTACCTTCGCAATTGGAAATTAGTGGAGTAGAAACTATGCGAGATTCATTGGATAGTATTACGCAACCAATTGTTAAAGATTTTTTTCAGAATGTTCGAAAGTCACTTGAGCATAATAACGAAACAGCAAATCTTCGTCAGTCCAATACTTATGCTGCCGAAATGGAAAATGTTGGCATTGATGATATAGAAATGATGTCTCCGATGCCTCTGACGCCTCCGATGCCTCCTCCTGCGGGTCCTCCAAAACAAAGGACAGGAAGATCAAAGAAACAAAACAATCAACCATCAAATATGCAACTACGACCTAAAACAAAGAGGCGTGCAGAAAGATCTTTATCAGCTGATATGTCGACTATAAGACCATGTAAAGTTTTATTGAGTAGATGGGAGCCAACTAGAGCTAGTTAGCATGAGGAAAAATTTATTGAAATATGTTTTTTAGTATTAATTTTGCTTTCGAACAATAAAGATGTGTAATAACGAAAAATTGAACGGTGTTTTATTTGACAATTATTATAACCCTTCATCTAGCGCAGCATTTTCAACATGCGACAGACTTTTAGCTCATTTAAAAAAGAAAGGAGTGCGTGTAAAACGTCAAGAGGTATCTCATTGGTTGAGTTCGCAGCCTACATATACCCTGCACAAAGATCGACGTATAAGATTTAAACGAAATTATTACAATATTACAAACATTGATGATTTGTGGGAAATGGATTTGATTGATATGCAGAAATATTCTCGAAATAATAAAGGCAACAAATACATATTGGCTGTAATAGACTGCTTCAGTAAATATGCTTGGTGTGTGCCAATTAAACGAAAAACTCCTGCTGAAATAATAAATGGTTTTGATGTAATATTTTCGTCAACTAAGCGACGTCCAATTAAAATTCAATCTGATAAAGGACGAGAATTTGTAAATAAGCATGTAAAGACTTATTTTTCAGGAAAAGATATTCATTTTTTCACAACGCGTGATCCAACAACAAAGGCAGCTATTTGTGAAAGATTCATACGAACCATTAAAGGATTAATTTACAAATATTTTACATATACAAACTCAAACAAGTACACAGAAGTACTTCAAAAGTTGATGTTTTTATATAATAATAGAGTTCATTCAACCATTGGTGTAACACCTGCAAGCGTAAATGAGAACAATGTATTACAGATTTGGAATCGCATGCAGCAAAAAAGAGAAAAATCATTTACACGAAAATCACCGACTTTACATGTAGGTGATATTGTAAGAGTGTCGAACCCAAAAACTGTATTTGAAAAAGGTTATAAACCTAAATGGAGCACTGAGAAATTTACAGTTGTAAAAGTTCATCGAAGAGAGCCAGTTATTTATAACATAAAAGACGACAGTGAAAATATTATCAAAGGAAATTTCTACGAAAGTGAATTACAGAAAATTTATTAAAAAATGTCAGACTTTTTCATAACGTTGGTGAGCAACAGCTCAATGAAAATTTTCCCAAACAATAAAACAGCATCTTTCACTGTTCTTCTACCAGAAAAAATATCTTTGAAAGGAGATTGGTGTGTAGCTGTCGCCGAAATTCACTATAATTACAATTTTTTTAATGTAAATGAAACAAATAATAAAATCAAACTGATCGATAGTGCAAATGATAATGATACCAATGAAATAAATATAATTACTGAAGATCATATACACGAATTGGAGGTAACATGCGGATATTACAATTCTGTCGGCGATCTCATATCTGCAATTAATAAACAATTATCACCATATTTGGAGAAGAATGATTTTCTATTGTCAATCGATAAAGCCAGTAATCGTACAATCGTCCACAGTAGCCATCTTAAGAAAAGTGTAGGACAGATTTATCTAGAAGGAAGACTCGGTATGCAACTAGGGTTCGATCCATCTACGGACATATTACAGACACAGATGTCACCTCACGTTGGTAATTTACGTTTTGGTATACCCGATCAAATGTTCATCTACACGGATATCATTGACCCCACATTTATCGGACACGAAAAGGCATATGTAATAAAAGTTGTGAATACAGAGGCAAAGAAATTCACATTTGGTGATGCATGTTATAAAGAATACACACATATGCATTATATGCGATTACAAAAGCGTGAGTTTGAAGCCATTTCGGTGGATATAAGGGACTACACTGGACAGTTTATGCCATTTCAACACGGTGTTTTAATGGTGAAACTTCATTTCAAAAATGCAGGACAAGACAATTAACGACGTATACGCTGAATACTATTTGAGACAGGCTGGTTCAGGTTTTGGCGGTGTTTATTCCAGTGGTTTATATCAAAAAGGTCATGGAATAGGCTCATTTCTTGGTGGGTTGTTTCGTTGTGTATTTCCTTACATAAAAAGTGGATCGGCTGCTGTTGGTAGTGAACTATTGAAATCAGGTGTAAACATTTTTTCAGACATTAGTAGAAATCAGCCAGTAGAAGCCGCGATAAAAAAGCGTGGAAAAGAGACAATAAATAATTTAAGTAAATTAGTAGGAGACAAAATGTTCGGCAATGGATATATAAGTACGGTTTCACGTAAGAGACCGCATTCAGCAACAAGTGGTCAAAGTGGCAAGAAAGCAACGAAAGCAAAGAAACCAAAAAAAGATAAAAAAACTGCAAAATCAGGTTCAAAGAAAAAACCTGCAAAGAAAACCAATTCCAGAAGCAAAAGTGAAATATTCGATATTTTTTCATAATGGCATTCATCAATAATCACAAAAGTGCTACAATTAAGTCAGAACTTGATATTTTTGCCACACCACCAACTCAAAATAGTATTGAATCGGGAACAACTTTTTGCTATAGACCCATATCAACATTATCAAATACAGCGCCCATAGAGTTTGTCGTTACATCAAGTGGAGATGAATATATCGATCTTGCCCATACAACACTTCACGTCATTGCTAAAGTCAAAGTCGACGCAACAATAGCTCCTGGATCAACGGCAGAAGTGGCTCCACTAAATAATTGGCTCCACTCACTCTTTTCCCATGTCGATGTATATTTAAATCAAAAGTGTATCACACCGCCATCAAACCATTACGGTTACAGAGCCTACATTGAAAATTTATTGAATTACGGTGATGGTGCAAAAGACACCCATTTAAAATCATGTTTATGGTATAAAGACGAGAGCAATGCTTTTGACAGTTATGAAAATACCGGATATGTAGCTAGAAGAAAATTAGCGGCTAGCGAGAAAAAAATTGAAATGTACTCTAATTTGCATTGTGATATTTTTAATTGTGAAGATTCAAGAAACAAACGACGGACAGAATGACTTGAGCGCAACTAACCGGTTGCAGTTTATTGACTCTCTTTATATATACATAAATGCGGAAGATAAAATTGCTTAACATGTATTGTTGCATTGGGAGCAAGGTTGTTATACTAAGCTAACATAAGCAGGAAACTAAAATGATGATTCTACTTTTACAACACTCTCCCTGAATCAGAATTCTTAACAATAACAATTCAAAAATAATTAAATTTCAAGCATTACACAACTTCAAAATTCAAAAATCAAATCAAATTGAACTTAAAAACTACAGGCGATCTATGCTGGATTGTTGGTGTAGCGTTTCTTCAGAACTTTCTTGTAGGCGCTGAAAACGTACATCGCGAAGTGTAATGTCAACAATATACAGATGATGCTGAGTAGAATAATGATCTCGCGACTCTTAATTTCGACCGGGTCATTGATTACGACATTGTTGTTGATCGTACCGCTCGTGTCGATGGTCTTTTCTTCATTGCTGGACTGAGTACCACCCATGATGGTTACTGCTTCAATTCGACAATCAGCTTCTGTTGACTCGTGATTTCAATCGCGCTTGTTGATTCGACAATCAGCTTCTGTTGACTGCTGCGACGGGAATGCTCAAATGTTCGAAAATGATCGCTTTATATAGACGTTTAAAACTATGAAAATATGAAGAAAAAATAAAAGAAAACATAAATACGGAAATGGCATTAAATTAAACCAAAGAGTTTGCGACAATGGTCAAATTTTTGTTTAGGCAATGCTTTTGTAAACAAGTCTGCAGCATTGTCTTCCGTATTGACGTAATGAATGATGCATTTTTTTTCTTCAACCATTTGCCTAACGAAATGGTGACGTATGTCTATGTGCTTGCATCTTGCAGAGTAGCCATTATTCTCTGCCAAACTGATCGCACTCCGATTATCGCAAAGGATGCTAATCGGCGGAGATGGTTGGACAAAAATCTCTCCCTCTATCTGCTTCACCCACATCGCTTCCTGGGTGGCAGCAGATAGACTCATGTATTCCGCTTCTGCGGTGGAGAGTGCGACTGTTGGCTGCTGCTTACTATTCCACGAGATCGGACCAGACGAACGAAGGAATACATAGCCTGTGCATGATTTGCGGCTATCAACATCTGATGCCCAATCAGCATCACAATATCCATGGGCATTTCAAGTGCTCTTTTTGAATGCGAGCTTCAGGTGTGACGTGCCCTTGAGATATCGAAGAATGCGCTTAACAGCTATCCAATGCGGCTGTGAAAAACAGTTGTTGAAGCGACTAACGTAAATAAATTTATGCTAAACGGTGTGGAATTAGGAGTGAAGCTAATCAACGCAAAAAATGAATTTCATCTGATCGGTGGCGCTGCAGCGCATGTTGAAATTATTGAAGCAAATCTTTTTGTAAGAAAAGTGAGAATAAATCCATCAATTTTACTAGCACATGCACGAGCCCTAAGTATTACACCAGCCAAATATCCGATTACAAGAGTGGAAATAAAAACTGTGACAATTCCAGCTGATATACAAAGTAAAAGTATAGACAATATATTTTTAGGTCAAATACCTAAGCGATGTATCATCGGTATGGTTGACGGCGCAGCTTTCAACGGTACTTTAAAAAAGAATCCATTCAACTTCCAACACTTCAATTACAACTACCTAGCGCTATACATCGACTCTACGCAAATACCCTCAAAACCATTAACACCAGATTTTGCAAACAATTTATATACTCGTTCGTACTACACACTATTTGAAGGAAGTGGTATTTATTTCAACGATATAGGAAATTCAATATCTCATTCTGAGTATCCTAATGGTTATTGTTTAGCAGCATTTGATTTAACACCCGATCTTTCGTGCAACGAGCCTCATTGGAATATCATAAAAAGTGGAACCTTACGAGCCGAAATACGTTTTTCTGAACCATTAAAATCAACCATAAATCTAATTATTTTTGCTGAATTTGATAATATCATTGAAGTGGATAAAAATCGTAATATAATTTTAGATTATAGTAGTTAAAATGGATACATTCTCAATAATTAATGTAATTAAACCGTATCAAAGAAGTAATATTTTTAAAGGCGTTTTCCCATGTGATTCTCTTCCAACCAAATTCAGTTTGCCAGCTATTTTTGTTGTAAATCTTTCACCGCATAACGAAGCCGGATCACATTGGGTCGCAATTTATATATCATCAAATAGATATGGCTTTTATTTTGACAGTTTTGGATTTCCCATAAGAAATATTTATATATCGCAATTTCTAAAAAAGCATTCGATTCGGATTAAATGTAATAAGAATCAAATACAACACATTTCATCCAATAAGTGTGGAAAGTTTTGTTGCATTTTCGCCATAATAATTTTAAGAAACTGCACTATTTTATGAGTAAATTTAGTAAAAATTTGTTTGTTAATGACATAGTTATAGAAAACATGTATAATTATATGAAAAAAGAATGGAATAAAACAATATGATTTTTTATTTTCAAACAAGTACTTTTTCTTTAATGCTCTTCTTACTTGCTAAATAACATGTTTCTTTAGATTAATTACTTAAAATATATGTCTAATAAAACCCATATGGACGGGTTTCAATCTTATCACACCCTATCTTAATTCTTTTAGTGCCATTTACTTTAAATTTATATTTTTGCGTTGTTGTAAATACCGTGCTATCTACAGAGCGCTGAATCGAATCTTTTACCAATTCAATTTCATCGTTTTGATTGTTCAAAATCATACTTTTCATTGAATTGAAATTGACCAATTCAGCGCTGGCGTGATTCAAAGTGATCCCTTTCACTTTACAAATGACAATATCTTCTTTATTAGGGACTTTTACGACAAATGAGTAGCTTTTTTCAGCTGTGAAGACAGCTTCTGAAATATAGCTACCTTCACCATATTCACCCACTATTTCATCGGTGAGGTCACCTAAATAGTCACCCAATGGCAGGTCTTGTTCATTTGCTGCGCATCTGTATATGACAGAATCTGTATCATAATAAAAGCATCGGTCTTGCAAAATATCCAAATAGCCATATAAATGTATTCGGGCTAATGCTGTTGTGTACGCAGCTAGCACAACATTTACTTTGGAATTTTGCTCCATACAGTCCTCTCGATACTTGTATGAAACAAGTAACGTGTCATCACTTAAACCGACGAAGCTACTCACTTCGAGTGATGGATTTGTCATTAAATGAAGCAAATGATTGGCAGACTTAACGAAGACTTTCTTCATTTTATCTTGTCTCATACCCAGACGTCCCCATAAACTATTCAATAATAATTTGTATTTAATTTGAGCATAATCTAAAGTGATTCCTTCATGCTTTTTGAAGTCACTTATAAATTTTCGCTTATCTTTTTCCGATTTACAATGCTGTGGAAATCCAGAAGCCTCAGTTTTAATTTTTAAGAAGGTATCTATATACTTGGCAAATAGACCGCCTTCTTGTGTATGCTTGTCGTACTGTGTCATTTCGTACTCCCAAGCTTCATATATTTTTCGAACAACATAACCCTTTCTTACAGCTAATCGCAATTCATCAGCTACGTATGTTCCATGAATGAAACGTTTTTCAGCTGGATGAGTACATACACCAGTATTCATATCTTTTGTGCATGTGTAGCATAACGAAAAAATTAATTTGTTATGCATTTTGATCCCAAGTACGGGATGATACAGTCTTTTTGGTGGCAATATATCAACTTTGATTATTCCATCAATATTGAAAACATTTCTATTCTCAAGATCTTTGCCGAGTAAAATTTTTGGAATACCAACAGGGTATCGACCGTACTTATTGATGTATGGATACAGTGAGGTAACATCTTTGTAGAAAATTTTTTCACCAGGTTCAGCTTTGTGATACATTTTGCAAACACCTGTGCGACCA